TTATCCATTTTATTCTTGGGAACTGATACAAAACTGCTTTCTTAGATGCTATTGTAGTGTAGGCAGAAATTACAATTGACGGCAACAGCTGATTCCATCAATAATCTATCTTAAAAGATAGGACTTGAATAGCATTCCTGCTCCATCGCAAAAGATGCCTGGTTTAGAGTATGCTAGACAAAGCTACTGCAGGATCATGATGCAAGTTGGAAGCTTGAGCATAGTTATACAGTGATATGTTTATTTATCAAAGGATATATTTTATGATCTGAAATGATAGCTAAGTAGATTATATTTGGATTGCTCTTTTGTAAAATCCATCAGTGACATGAATGAATACAAAAAGTTTATAAGATATCAAAAACTCATGGGGAGTCATAAAGTGACATATAAGAGATTTCATAGTATGCTTATGATTTGGAAGAGTATATGTACAAGTTGAACGTCTTTTTCCAGCCCAGGATAAATATTCTTACACCACATAGATCTGATAACTAATTTACTTACTGTAGACAACTTTCACTTCAGAATTTATGTATTAGAACTAATATGTGCTCAAATAATTTACAGGAAAAAAAATGGAAACTACACCAGTTTCTTCCTTTTTCAAGTCAAACTGATATGATACATAATCAGACAAAGGTTGTAGTTCTTTTCAGATCGCACTCAAATATAAAACAGTAGGTTACCCCTCCTCCCTCCTCCCTAATCAGCCTAATCCAATCCTTATAGAACCAAATGATTCTTTCTGGTCACTCTTCTCTCCATAGAGCTAAAAAAGCACTATGCTGTTGTACATAAGAACTCTCATTCATTCAGATTTCTTACACCTTTTCTTGCATGAGATAAGACCTTCCCTTGATCATTTTAAAACATTCTCGCCTCTGTATAAGAATGCAGTATTTTGGAATATGTGGATTGTGTACTAGAAATTGGGAGTTCAGTATTCAGTAGTGGAGAGTTCTTTCTCTTTACTGCAAGACTGTTTTTGTCAATTTACCAGCTTTCTTCTTAGAAGTTGTAGATTCCAAACTTCCTAAATCTCCAAAGGTAGTTCCCCTTATATCTGTTATAAAAAATCTAAAGCACACACTCACCATTTTATTAAGCAACTTTTATGGGCACAATAAACAGATAAGAAAGATAGATTATAGTTATGTATATAACATGCATGGAAATCATCCAGAATCATGAGTAACAGTACAGATACATAAATGTATTTTTATGATTTTATTTATTTGTTTAATCCTCTACAAACTCTAACCCTTCATTACAAAGGTTATGCAAATTTACACATGTGTACACCATATACTCACTCTCTCTCACTCTCTCTCA